AAACAGTAATAACATCTAAGATATGAACTAAGAAAAACATAAACTAAATATACACTAAGCACTCATAACATAAAAACATTATGTCGAACATCAGCAGAAACATGAACATGAATCTGTGTGTGCAGATGAGCAAGCATGAACACATCAACATTGAAACAGATCAGCAGCAACATGAAACGGATCAGCAGCAACATGATGTGATTTTTCACAGTGATTATTCTGATTGGAGATTCATGAGTCTAATAGCCTCAGGGTAGAAGCTGTTCCTCAGTCTAGTGGTTCTACACTTAATGCTCCTCAACCTCCTTCCTGAGGGGAGTGGGGCAAAAAGTGTGTGTGCTGGGTGAGTGGGGTCCTTCATGATGCAGGTGGCCCTCTTCTTGCATCTAGAGGTGTAGATGTCTGTGATGGTGGGGAGGCTGACTCCAACAGACTTCTGTGCAGCCTTCACCACTCTCTGCAAAGCTTTTCTTTCTGCAGCTGTGCAGCCTCCATGCCAAATGTAGATGCTAGAGCACAGGATGCTCTCCACTGCACACCTGAAGAAGGAGGTGAGGACTGAGCTTCCCAGACCAGCTCGTCTCAGCCGTCTGAGGAAGTAGAGTCTCTGATGAGATTTCTTGATCAGGCTGGTGGTGTTGTTGCTCCAGCTGAGGTTGTCATTCATGTGTACACCCAAGTACTTGTAGCTGGAGACCACTTCCACCGCAGATCCTCTTATGTTCAGGGGAGTGTAGGTGTTTTTGTTCCTTCTGAAGTCCACAATCATCTCCTTTGTCTTCTTCACATTGATGTGAAGGTTATTCTCTTTGCACCAGCTCTCCAGGTGTTCCACCTCTTGACTGAAGCTGGACTCATCATTGTTTGTGATACATCCCACCACCGCTGTATCATCTGCAAACTTTACAATGCAACAGCCTTGATGGGTAGCTGCACAATCATATGTGAGCAGAGTAAACAGGAGGGGGCTCAACACACATCCCTGAGGAGAGCCAGTGCTGAGCATTATGGTGGAGGAGAAGTTGTGGATCCTCACTAACTGTGGTCTGTTTGTTAAGAAGACTAGTACCCAGTTGCAAATGGAGGGGCTTAGTCCTAATGTGAATAGTTTGTCCATAAGGGTTTGGGGGATCATGGTGTTGAAGGCGGATGTGAAGTCCACAAAGAGCATACGGATGTAAGAGTTTTTCTGCTCCAGGTGGTTGAGCACAGTGTGGACCACAGAGGAGATGGCATCCTCTGTTGATCAGTTCTCACGGTATGCATACTGATGAGGGTCCTCGTTGATGTTGATGGTTGTTTTGATGCGAGTCATGACCAGTTTTTCAAAGCATTTAGCAACTATTGGGGTGAGGGCCACTGGCCGATAGTCATTCAGACCAGTTACTGTAGAGCTTTTTGGGACTGGGATGATGGTGGCAGTCTTCAGGCAGGTGGGAACTGTCTCCAGGGTAAGTGAGGTGTTAAAGATGTCTGCCAGCACCTCGCAGAGCTGATCAGCACATTCCTTCAACACTTTTCTGGGGATGTTGTCTGGGCCGGTTGCTTTATGAGGATTAGTCCTCCTGAAAGTACTCCTTACTTAGGCTGAGGTCACGCTGAAATGCTCTTTATCCGGTGGTGAGGGGAGTCTGGTGCTGGGTGGTCTGTTCGGGTCTTCAAAGCGTGCATAGAACTTGTTGAGGGCATCAGGCAGAGATGGGTCTTTGGGGCATTGTTCACTCCTTCCTTTATAATCTGTTATACACTTAATGCCCCTTTACATGCTCCGAGCGTCTTGTGAGATGAATTGACCCTCAATCCTCTGTGCATATGTGGCCTTGGCCTTCTTAATACTAGCAACCAGCTCTTTTCTTGTCCTACTCAGCTCCTCCGAGTTTCCAGACCTGAAGGCAGTGTTCCTGGCTTCCAGCAGGGTGCGCACCTCTGCATTCAGCCAAGGTTTTCTGTTTGGGTACCTTTTAACATATCTGATAGTGGAGACGGTTTCAGTACATGTACTAATGTAACCCAGAACTGAGGATACCATACCATACCATACCAATTTATTTATAAAGCACTTTAAACAGTGACAAAGCACACCAAAGTGCTGTACAGGGACAAACAGAACAAGCACATAGCAACAGATTACATAACAGGACACCAAAAATGTAGAAACCGACAAAAACAATAATGGATAACAACAACAACTGCAACATGACCAACACAGTGTGATGCACACAGACTCAGCACAGGTCACACAGTGCAGAAAGCCAGGGAATAAAAGTGTGTTTTTAAGCGAGATTTAAAAACTGTGAGGGAGGGGGCCTGTCTAACGAGCAGAGGTAACTCATTCCAAAGATGTGTATTGGTCCAGATCAAGCAATCCTCCATTTTCAGCAGCTTCTCTGAAAACCTGCCAGTCTGTTCGATCAAAACAATCTCTCAGTATGGGGCCACTGTCCTGGATCCAACATTTAACTTTCTTTTGTACCAGTCTGGAGCGTCTCAGCGGGGGCATGTAAGCAGGAGCCAGGAAGATTGAGATGTGGTCTGACAGTCCTAGGTGGGGGCGGGGTTCGGCTTTGTATGCATCTTTTACGTTCGTGTAAACACGGTCCAGCGTGTTGTCTCCACGTGTTGGAATTGCCACATGCTGATTAAAGCTTGGGAGACAGTCCTTTAGATTCACGTGATTAAAGTCTCTGGCTACCACGTAAAGAGCCTTGGGGTATTTGTTCTGCAGCGAGCTGATGATATCATGTAGTTCCTGCAGAGATTCATTAGCATTAGCGTCCGGAGGAATGTAAATGACCGTGATGAAAGTCATTGTGAACTTGCAGGGTAGATAATGTGGTCGACTTTTCACTGTTATTTGCTCCAAAGCCTTCAAGCATGAGCTATTTACAACAGTACAGTTCGTGCACCAACTTAACTCACGTAAATGCATACTCTGCCTCCCCGTGATTTCCCCGTTAGCTTGCTGCAGCGGTCCGCTCGAAAAAAGAGTCATCCAGCTGGAAGACTGTATCCAGCGTTTCGCTTGTAATCCATGTTTCTATGAGGCAAAGCACCGCACACTTCTTCATCTCTTCTGAGGCGCCCGCTCTCAGACGAAGTAAATCCACCTTGTTGGCCAACGAGCGGACATTCGACAGAAAGAGAGACGGCATGGGGAGTTTACCGGCTTTAGCGTTAGCTCGTAGCCTCACCATAACCCCCCGCCCGGCATCCTCTCCTCTTAAGCCGGGAGCAGCGCTTCCTCTTCTGCCCGCTGGAACGCCTCTGCTGCAGCTTCCAGGTAGATGACTTTAAGATCTGCATTCTGCCGAGCGTAGTTTTGAGCTTGTTGCTGATTTCTGCTATATTTCATGGCAAATCCGCTCCTATTCTCATCAGTTCGGTTCGGCTATAGTTCACACGCATAAATCGTGCGGAGTCAGACACAGAGTCAATATCAAAACTTCTAAAAACTGGGATAGTACCGGGAGCCTGTGAAGCTGCAACTGCTCTGAGCGTGGCCATCTTGGATAATCTTGGTTAATCCTGGTACTTGTTAATTCTGGTTCTGGTTAGGTCTGGTTCTGATTAAGCCTGGTTCTTGTTAAGCCTGGTTCTGGTTAAGTCTGGTTGTGTTTAAGTCTGATTCTGGTTAAGCCTGTTTCTGGTTAGGTCTGGTTCTGGTTAAGCCTGGTTCTAGTTAAGTCTGGTATTGGTTAAAACTGGTTCTGGTTAAGTCTGGTCCTGGTTAGGTCTGGTTAGGTCTGGTTAGGGTTAAGCCTGGTACTGGTTAAATCTCGTTATATTGTTAAATCTGGTTAGGTTTAATACTGGTTCTGGTTAAGTCTGGTTCTGGTTAGGTCTGGTTCTAGTTAATTCTAGTTATGATTAAGCTCGGTTCTGTTTAATCCTGGTTCTGTTTAAGTCAGGTTAGGGTTAAAACTGGTTCTGGATAAGTCTGGTTCTGGTTAAGCTTGGTTTTGGTTAGGTCTGGTCCTATGGTTTAGTGTGCTTCAGGTTAATCCTGTTACTTGTTAATTCTGGTTCTGGTTAAGTCTGGTTCTGATTAAGCCTGGTTCTTGTTAAGCCTGGTTCTGGTTA